AGCAAAAGCACATGCTTACGCACAATGGTCAGTTGGGCAATGGAGAGCGGAGGCTTTCAGAAACTGTGCCGCTTGGGTGCTTGAAGTTAAACGATGGTACCTGGCTGGCCCTTGGACAACTCGAAATGTGGCATCTCCCGTGTCGGAAGATTTCTGTTGTTGAAGTCGACTGGCTCATCTATCTCTTCTTGTCATTTAAGAGAAACACAATAGGCTTGAACAGTGCTCAATATGGACTGAGAAGATAGACAAATACGTGTGTAATCGCGTGGGCTGTTGAAAATATGTGGAAGAGTAACTAAAGGAGCAATGGAGACAAACGGAGAGGATTCAGTACTTACCAGGCGTTCAGGTAATCAGCACCTTTTTTGTGTGTTTTGTTAGCTAAGGCGGGAGGGGTTTCACACTGAAAATGTTCTGCAGTTACCTTGTAGGGACAACCTTTCTCCCTTACAGCTTAGGAGCCATGCGCCATGATACCTCTCATAATGTATAAGACGATCATTGGCAAAAAGAGAGGTGAAGAGAGAAGTGAAGCAGAAAAAAGGACTTGAATGTGGTACGCATGTAAAGATACCGGTAGTGAATAATGTGTTACTTACATGTACATTTTCAAAGACGTCAACCCGCTATTTTGAGTTAATTCAGAAATACCGGGATAGCGATACTCAAACAAGAAGAGTACAGTTGCACTCCACTGTCGAAGTAAACTCAAGAGCACTATGCTGGGAAGCAAGGAGGGAAAAAAAAAGGAACAAAAGGCATCCATTATATTACACCCGTAACCGGCCCTGTGCCCTCCATCCCAACCCCAGTTCATTTAAGTTCTGTTCAGCTTTTCGATCCTTCCCATCCCATAATCATATTCAAAGAGACACCCGTATAACCCAATCTTGAGCATTTTCTCGTTTTGTTCAGACACGCCTCTGAGCACGGCTGGTAGAGGCCGAGGCCGAAGCCGCACCGGAGCCAGCCGGGACATTGGACCTCCGCTTTTCGCTACTTTTCTTTTTGTCACCCTCTTCCGAGTCATCATCGCTGGGTGCCCGGCTACCGTCTTCCTGGCTCGGCCCGCGAGTCCTGCTCATCTAAAGGGGGCAGAGTCAGTCAAAGCACTCAACAAACAGCGCTCAGTGAAAGAAAAGAAAAAAAAAGATGGTAGAACACTTACCCAAGATCGTACACCCCCAACCAGCCCAAGAGTATAACCCGTAATGAAATCGTTCACGTTTCCTGCTGCCTGCGCAGCTGCCTGTGTCGGGCTCTTGGGCGCCAAGTTAGAGGGACCTGCTTGCGCCGATCCTGAAGCTGGACCAAGGGGACTGGGACTGGTAGCATTCGACACATCGGCGCTGCTACCGCCGTTCTGCGCCATAGCCAACAGCTGCGGAGGCAGTCGGGGGAATCCCGAAGGGCTTGGGCTTTGGGGTCGACTAGACGGCCAAAACTGGCGCAGCTCCTTGCTGAGCTCCTGTCCGGTCGTAGCCCAGTTGCTGCGGATATTGTCACGCAGATCCTGGATGTGCCTCTTCAGGTCAAGCTCGTTCTTCTTTAGCCAGCTGACGTTGAGCTCTTGACGCGACGCGCCGCGCTTGAATTGACGAGCAATATACTTTTCATAATCGCGGACGATCCTGCAGTGAAAGAAATAGCTGTCAGTACAGAAACTGGTATGCAATGCGTGGAACGATAGGTGAGGGATAACTCACTTGGTGATGATGCCAGTGGTGCTCACACCCTCTGTCCGTTGCGTGACCAGGAACTTGCCAGCCGCCTTGATAGGCGCATAGATATCGTCGCCCTCATCAGCGCCGTAGGGGATGTCGTCGTGGGCCACATAGTCAATTTTGTGTTCCTCGAGGAACTCGGGTGTGACAATCCAGGGGCAGTCCTCGATAACTTCATCCACCCACTTGCAATGCCGGACGGTCTCGGCACGCTCCTTGCCTGACAAAACGGTCAAACCCTTGCGCTTGTGTGTATCCTCGTCGCCCGTCACGCCCACAAGGAGGTAGACTTCGGGGAAGGCCTTCTTTGCTTGCTCAAGCTGGCGCATGTGTCTGTTGTCCTCGTGGTTAGCAAATGCCGTTGCAAGAGCTACAAGGGGCCTCTTTCGTTATCTTCTGCCACATTGGATGCCAAATCTGCGTCAATTACCCAGCTCCGGGGGCATTGGCCTTTCCCCTGTCTTCAAATGACAAATTGCCCACCACTAGGGAAGAAGAGGAACGTACCCGAGGTGGAACAGATCGAAGACACCATCCGCATATACTCTGACTGGCCTACCCACGGGAGGAGGGTTCGTCTTGTATCCCACGGGATGGGTAAGCTTTCCAATGGGCGGTGGTGCCATGGCCGGGCCCTTGGATATTATTGGGTAACCACCCGTCTCTCCGTCTTCACTGCCATTGTTCTGGCCGACCGTGGCCTTGCGGCTGCTCTTGCGGGTGACTCTTTCGGCGATGTGATCACTGGCTTCGGTGGTATCACTAGGCTCGCCGGGATCGATAGCCTGGGCCTGCTCTATCGCATCAGTGGTGGCGGGGCCTTCTGAGAGCTGGTCGTTGTTGGGACGCTGGCGCTTGCTAGGCGGATGGCTGCTAGTGGCCGAGTCGGTCTTTCTGTGGCCAGCGGCAGTGCGTGAAGACTCGGGAGCGGTGGTGTCGCCCTCTTCAGCCGAGGCGTCGCGGGACTCGGTCTGGATGATCTGGTCCTGGTTCATGATGGCGGCGTCGACGGGGTCAAGATGTGTGGTGTTGACGTTGGAATTTGCGATGCTGTCCGCGGCAGCAGAGCTACGCTTGCGTTTCCCAGAAGCCTGAGGCGTTGACGAGTTCAGAGAAGGTGACATGGCGAGTGGATGGGGCGTAGGAAGAGAAGGAAAGAAGGGTGGGGGAAAGAGTCGATGAGTTGGGCCAGCCGATACTAGAGGTCGGGCTAAGAGGTTATGGAGTATGCAACTTGAATGGAGCAATTGAGCAATGTCGGGTAGAGGTCCAGTAGAGGTACTGCAGTGCTAATTGTGGGCCCCGTGCTATTGTACCCTTTCCAACGCAGTTGCTACCTCTGGGTAGTTGCAGTCCCAGCAACACTTTGTTCCTTCGCTGTATCTCTATGCCGTCTGCAGGCAAGAAGCGCTCAGATCAAGATGCTTGGTGCAGTAGCAGCGTCGTCTGAGGATCTGTGACTGAGATGAGGAGCGAATGAAGTTATCGCGCAGTTTGGGATTCAACGGCGCCGGGTAGGTATCAGACTTGCAGGTGACGGGACTGACAGGTTGGCAGGTATCGACCAGGTACGAGCACTTCGGGCCACTTTTAACATATATCACCAGGTCCAAAGACAACTGTTGTTGTGTTTCTGAGTGACCTCTCTTTCTCTGTTCCCTGTTTTTCTCTTCTTTGCGATTCCGAACTGATGGAAGACCCCGGCAAACCTGTATTGACAGAGGGTCGATTGGCACGATAATGCGGTTGTTGTACAGTTGACTGTAACAAGTACTCTTTCAGCTGTCGAGTCCAATGGCAGTTCCGGAGGCTGATCGGTCAGGTTTGGAAAATGAATTACTCTCTTTCACATGCGGCTAACAAAAAAGACATAGAGAAGACGTCAGAGGGCCCCTTTGCCTGCTACCACACACACACACACACACACACACACACACACACACACACACACACACACACCAGAGACGGCAAACAACAGACTCGTCGGGCAGGTCAACATGACCGACAGTCTGACTAGCGGGCGGGCACTAGTCGCGATCATTGATTCGTACCGGATTCTTGTATCGAGACAGTATATGGTGTGTATGCATCTATGCTATACTTATATGCAGATAAACCTGCTAACTAGTTTGGCGTAGGCGACTTTGACGCTAAGGGATGTAGCTAGTGTAGTAGAAGTCGCTTTCGCGGTTCGAATCGCTGGTCGTGTACCAGTCACTGATCCTAAAACTAGGTGGCTACTCTAGTAGCTCTGCCGCTAGTCAGACGGTCGACTTTGACGACCTGACGAGCAGCATCCATCATCTTTCCCCGGTCGTCGAGGACTTCTCGTTCCATTTTCAGAGGGCATGCCTGAAGAAAAGAAAAGGGTCATCTGCATGTTTTGGCGCCAGCGTCCCCTCAATTGCGACGCTATTGCTGCGGTGATCTGAGGTTTTTTCTTTGCTGCTTGAGATTCCACCAAAAGGTCAAGTCCCCGGCCGGTCTAGTTTCCTTCAACTAAAATGTAGTGTAGAGAGCAATGCGCCAAATCTTGCGAGCGGGAGGTTCTTTGTCCAAGCCAGGACGAGCATGGTAGAGGTAGAAAAACATGACACTTACAAGAGGGAAGCAATTGAAGCCGGGGCGGGAGCGTGACTGGCCTAGGGGCACTGTTAGAAATCGCTAGAAGACTCGCGCTGTCTGCAAACAGTGGACCGTGCCAGGGTGTGCCGGAAACCGGAGTGGTTGTCCAGGCCGTTAGTGCAATTGGGTGCAGGTGTGACCGCTCCTAACGGAACATGGGAACAAGCGAGCGGCGGCAGTGGCAGCTGAAGGGAAATTTTTGTTGAGCTGCAGGCATTCGCAAAAGGAAAATCACGTCATTGCCAGTTGCCAAAGCAAGGGCCAGACCACACGCCATGGGTGGGTAACCTCGATCGTTACTTTGGTCTGCGGTACGTATCTTCGAACGTTGTAGCTTGCATCGGAAGATAAGACTACCACAAACACTCTCGGCATCACCAAAGTGGCACATGCTAAAGATTTTGTCGCTCGTTCGCTTCAGTCGACGATTCATTGGCGATGGCGAGGTTGTCGGCAGCATCCAAAATCGGTTTGGGGAAGTGCTCCATTAATTTGTAAGGTCAGGCAGTGACGCTTCAATAGTAGGAACACTCGGCACGGCGTTGAAAGGTTCAGATAATGTTTACTTCATTGATGTGTTCCCAAGGCATTTGTCGAGGCATTTGTCATAGGAGTTTGTAATTCTCCCTCACATTGCGAGGTTTTTGCGTCCCCCAATGCCGCTCTCTCTAGTTATGTACCTGTAATAATCCCATTCCTTCGCGACGAGAATCCTTTCGTAGCCAGTCGAGATTGATGCCGCTTCAAAGATCCCAAACTCGACAGGTGATCATCGCCTCTTGATGTGTGTATCCAAAAGAGAAAACCGCACCATGCCGAAAAATCCAGACCAATGTTTACTGCAATACCACCTTCGACCTCCGCACAAAATGTCGCCCACACCGTGTCTTGTCGCCAGGCTTGCTCATATAGCAATATGACTTGGCACCCTCGGGCGCAATCGGCCCAAACTTCTCCGTAATGGAGCAGTACTCCATATTGTCGCCCATCCATTCCTGGATGTGCTTATGCAGCTGGCATCGCGTGACGCCGCATTTTCTGCAGTATGCTTGGCCACGGATCCGGAGCTGCGACAGTGACAGAGACTTCTTGCTCTCTTCCTCGCTCTTCTCTTCCACTGGAGAGGATGGGGTCGATCTCCTGACAGTGCCTGCAAGATGCCACGCCCACTCCAGCTCGTTTGGACCCTCGCGCCGCGTCCTGAGCGGAACGGTCCCATGCATTCGGTGGTGAATGGCGTAGAAGTGCTTGTTGGTCAGCCCGAGACAAGTGCTATCGATGGGGTCAAGAAAGTCGAAGATGGCCATGTGTAGCTCTGGTGGCAGATCGAGCAACAGCTTGCCTGCCGATGGCACGGGCAACGGCAAACGATCCGTGACAGAGTAAGACCGGCGAGGAGGGCCCAGCGCAGGCCTGCGTCGTACCGTCACCTTTTCTTCTGTCGGCTTGGGCTGGCTCCTCTCCTTCACAGGTACGACCGGCTGCTTGACAACATCTTCTTCGGGAAGCTGTTGAATAGTGTGGAGGGTAAAGAGAGGGGGCTGCGGGATGTGATATTCCTGGAAAGTTTGAGACCGGCGTGGTACTCGCTTTCCTGACCGCATAAGGCTCATTTCCTTCCTCATGTGATCCTCTCTGGTGAACGGCAACGCAGAACCCGGCAAGAGGGGTGGGGTGCTGTAGAGAACCTCGATCATGATGGTAATGGATAGCTGATCGGTACTAGAGTTCTCTCTCGATAATGGTTATCGTCGTGGTTGTTGTTGAGATTGTATAGCTGCTCCGTGAAAACAATCCCTTTTTGGTGACGGTCGTGGTCGTTGGGGCTATCGACGTGTATCACTAGTTGTATCAAACTGTAGCGGATGTAGGAGGTTGGTTGATTCGGGTGGTGGCAATGATGCTAGTGTAGAGGATGAAGGTAGAGGCAAAGCGGGCTCGGCTGCTCTGATAAAGACTTCAGGTACCAATGCCGTCGGCCACAATGAGATAATATACGGACCCCCTCACTAGCAAGCTCATAAGGAGGTGGAGGGTGGGATGGCGAGACGGGAGAATGAGGGGGTGATAGTCGTGGATGTGGAACAGATGGATCGATAGGCGGGACGGATTTCTGGGGAAATGTCTTGGGGTGTGGAATCCGGCAAGTAGGTTGTACCTGACCTGACAAAGGAAGTAGGCAAGTACCAAGGATCCGGTTCGCTGAGTCGGAGGCGTAAATGGGAAGAGGGCAAGAGCGGGAGGCGATGGATGAACGCGGATTAGCTCCCGACGGAGAAAAGGTGAGGTGAAATGGAAGAAAAGAACGAACCGTAGGCAGTCTCTGTGGAGGGAAAAATCCAGGGCTTGTTTGTGGCACGGCGCTAGGAAAGCGGTGGGGGGATCGTCACGAGGCCAGACAGGCCTTTGCATGTCACTTTCACCCTTTTCCTGATTCCGTTGCGATCCGTTTCCGAACGCCTCTTCGGACGGCCCGGCACGGTCGGAGTGCATTCTGCGTATGTAAGTACATAGTACACCATCACGCTATTGCTGTCGATTGCAGCCGTCGCAGATCTTCTCGCCGTTGCTTCATGTTGTCTCTCAATCGCTGATATCCTCAGCCCGGTTGGGCCCTGGTGGACTCGCGGTGGAGGTGAAGGCAAAGTAGGGTCTCGGGCGTTGTGGGATTGTGGGTTCGAGTGGTATCAGAGCAAACTGGCAGTCGTTCTTTGGTTCATCCCAATCTGCAGAGGACCTGGCACGGAATGCACCGTCTGCATTGACGTTTGCCTGAACGGGCATCAAAGAGTAGGTAGCCAATTCACAACCACAGACGTCGTTCAGCCAGGAAGGCTTTGACCAATCACATAGCGCTTTATATGCCGTTCATCAGTCTGCTACATGTCGGCGTTCGAAGAAGTCAACATTCGATGATCCAGAACATGTTGGAATCCTCGTGTTGCACTGCTAGACTTTGCTAAGGCTTTCTAGGAACCTTGGCCAGGATCGCAAGGGCCTGATCCCGTCTTGGACTCCTGGGAAAGATTGTATCTCATGGAATTGCCTGGACTCTCCATAATACAGTCAACCCCCTGTTGATACAACCAATTCGAGCAGGGCAGTTCCCTAGCATCATACGGTCGTTTTGCATTTGTGGGGGATATGCCCACCACTTACAGTAAGAACCCCTGCTTTTACAACTAATGCCGGCAGCCCAGATTTTTTACAAAAGAGGGAGGTTTACAAAAGGGAGGACAAGAGTATAGACTAGGTAAGAGTCTTCTAACTATTCAATAATAGTTAGAAGTATTAGAAAGTGGATCCCTTAGAGCTATTAGACCCTAGTATACGGGTATAAGAGTGCCTGCCCTACTAAATTCGACCCCTACTTTTACAAATCCGAACTATTAGCGTTATAAATTGCAAGTTGCAGGAATTACCACTAGAGGGAATATAAGCAGTCGAAAATCTTTTGCAAAAGGGGGAATTTCGCAAAAGGAGGGAGTTGTAAAAGCAGGGATCTTTACTATACAGTAAAGTCCCCTATTAATGCAATTAATACCGGTAGCTAGATTTCTTTGCAAAAGGAGGGGTTTTGCAGAAGGGGGAGCTGGTGTATAGACTATAATATAAGCTGTGGGGCTGTTGGATCACGGCCGACCACCCTAAAGGTAGGTTACCTAGACCTGCCGCACCGCCGGTATTACTCCGGCTTACCAAAATAGGACCCCTATTAATACAAATCCCCAGCGTCAACATTGCAAATAGCAGTTAGCAGTCTTCACTACTAGAGGGAATGTAGGTAGTCAAAATCTTTGGTAAAAGGGGGGGTTTTAGTAAAAGGGGGGGGTTGCATTAACAGGGGACTTTACTGTACTGTGTATGTACTACACTAGTGTAATGTAAACCACCCAAATAGCACTACACATTATACATAGGCACCAAAGCTCTTTGCATCACACAGAGGATTTGCCTTTGAGGGGGGGGGTCGCATATGGTGTACAGGGGGTTTGACTGTATGAGTATGATGCGTTTCGCAATGGCAGGTTGCAACATGTTGACAGCTGCACCACTTTTGGGTTTTGCAGTCGTTGCCTCGTTGAAATATTACATATCCCCGAGCCTTGACGGATCGCGGACACTGATGGTATGAAAACACCGTTACCATCTTCGCCCACCGCCGTTTATTTTTCGTCCGATAAAGTGCATGTCGATTTCCCATCTCAGGTAACACGTCGCACATCAACCCTCAAACGAACAAACATCTCCGAATTCGCTGAGCCAGATCGTACGTCAATGACACGATCCGGACGATATCTACACTGTCATCCCGAAGCCAAGGCGGTCGCTGACACCGAGAGAGTTGACCTGCTTTATCCACTACCCCGCCTTCTGATATCATCCCTATTTACGGAGTTCTTTCGCTAATATGTACATAGTACATCTACACATTCACTCCTGACGACCGTCCTCTGGTAAATGTTGTCTTGGCAACCGACCGCCATCTTCACGCCAGGTCTGGGTTGTCTTGATAAACTTGAAGATTGATGGTCCGGCGTCTCCCTTTCGGAAAAGTTATGCTATCAAATGTAGACAAGAAACAGGCACTGAAACCCAGCTTAACCTACTGACAGCATTGTTTGGAGTACGGAGGTTAGGGAGGAGTACTTGCGTTCGGTGGCGTAGTTCGCTTCTTGTTGGGCTTATCTATTTTGTAGTGTACAACACAACTGATATCTAACTTTCCCTGTTACCATAACAATCGGTTACCCTTTACACTACTTTGACTGGCTAATTAGGGGGCATATTTAGGGGTACAATTCATCATGCCCCTTCAATGATCGGCGGCTATGATGTGTACACTAAATCATCTAGCTGTTCCTCTGCACGTGGTGGTGCGCCGAACAGCCGCTAAATGGGGATATCGAAATTGACTTGGACCCAACCTGATCCATTCTTCGAAAAGTATGCGCATGGTACGCGTGGCGTCGTGTCGAGCTCGCAAGGCTGTTAGAGCGCCCAAAACACGTACGATGCGATCCGAGAATCAATGGGGAGAGATCTTCATCATTATCATCCAAATGGAGGTACACGACTCGAGTGCGGATCAAATGCGTGGCGAATATGGCGACATAATTGATGCTGCGCCGTTTCAATGCTGATTTCTTGCTGATCCAAGTCCTTCAAAGAAGTATCCAACTAAATAAGGTCAATGGTGGTGCGGTTGACAATGCCACACTTCATGGTGCAGGACGAACAGCAACGGGAGACATTGCTCGCAAAGCATTTACCCGCCAAATCACATTTGATTTTAAGAGATGGTACCTAGTCTCGTTCAGGACAAAAAAACATGGACTCCAGAGCACCATGTCGTCGTCAACTTGACAAGACACCTACGAATTTATAAGGCTTTAAACGCGTGTTGGACGCTATAAAGCACCATAAGGATGAAGAAAGGGAATATATATAACGATATAGACGAAGCCCGTCTTGGGGTTTGCGGAGATGTCACGGTTTTGGTGGTCTGGTCCGGCTGCAGTCTTCGTTATTTTGTTCCGGACGAGCTGGTGTAACTACTACATACAGGCTTTCCGTTGCGAGTTGAAGACGGACCTGCGTTTTGACTGCGAGCCGGGCAGTGACCGACACACAGTCTCGAAGGGACAAACATGAAGCGAGCACTCGGATGACATTTCTCGTAGCTATCAAAGTCACGCCAACCAGCCTACCAACAAAAAATCTCACCACCACCTCTCGGCGTGCTCGACTCGAGGGTACGGGTTTCAGCAAAACGACCAGGGCTGATCATAGTTCAAGTAGTAACTGATTCAGATCCTGTCGACAGTTAAGCTTTCACGACCGCTCATTGTATTTTCATCGTGAACTATACCTGGCCCACCACACTTTCCCGCTATGCATGAGCACCCGCGACAGCATGTAGGGGCAAAACGCAAAAAGAGGCACCATCCCCAGATCGAACTGATTTCTTTTCGCTTATAGGAAGCCGGGCTAAAGCCTGGTGTCTCGACGTTATATTGGGCCATGTATCAGAAGTACACCGCCTGAGCCCCCAAGCCTCGGTGGAACAAGCCAAAGCATGATGGGAATACGCCCATAGACGTCATACCCGCGCTTCCTGGCCCCGGAACTTTCTCGTAGCAGAAGCAAGATACCTCCAGTTCCGTGATCCGTGATCCGTGATCAGGGCTCGCCAAGCTCCGCCTTGGCCGTACCGTAGCTCCCGGGGCATTAAGTCCGATGGAGGGCCGACGATCTTTCCGAGGTTTCAGGTCAAGGTCCCCCGATTGTTGTAACCCTGAAGCCCACCGGTTCCATTAAAATGGCCGTATACACTAGAAATCTCAGAAGGCTTATGGCGTATTGTGTCAGCGTTGGTCACTTGACAAGTATTGGTCCTTTGATTTTAGCAGGCATTATTATCTTGCGACCGTTATGCCGACTTCGAAGTCATATAGCCGCTTCAATATAACCACACCATCGAGGACCCCCGTTCAGCTACGACAGCCCCCTTTGTGATAATCCAACCGATGAGGCCACCACGGACGGCTCACGTTCATCTCTGTCATTCAGTACCATATGGATAAGGTTGTGATATCATTACAGAGTAAATTATTGTTCTTCTCGCTTGTTTGGTATACTGACTCCGGGCTCCCTGTCCCTCACCATGCGCCTCTCCATCCATCCATCATCCCCACATCATAAGGGGTGAACCGGGTGGAACTCACGCATCTCCTCCTTCTCTTTGTAACCACAATATCAGAGGGCAATCCAAATGAGCATGATGACAACATCGAGCCCCTTTGCCTCGCCATCATACTTGAAGCTCCACATGCCGTCCGTCTTCTCGTTCCAGTAGCCCGCCGTCGCGCTGTGCATACCGCGGCGGCCCGCCTGTCCCTTCTTGCTGGCGGCAGGGGCGGCAGCCTCCGACGAGGTCGACTCGCCCTCGGGGCCGGTGCCGGTCGATGTACTTGTGCTGGTGGCCTTGTTGAGTTGCGAGGTGGGCACTACGTGCTGCACGATGGTGCTGTTGACGGCGAACTTGTAGGCCGGGGTTGTGGCGCCTTGGGGGGTCGCTTCAGACATTACCGCCTTGAGCATTTTTTGCTGGAACCGGAGGTCAGTTAACGTGGGATCCTTCTCTATACTGGCGCGCACACGAAGACCCCTCGCTCGTTCACCGGGTCGAAGAGGAGAAATGTTCTGATTTTGTCGATGCGGAGAAGGCGGTATGGAAAAGCAGGCGGGCAGGGACAGAGGACTAGACAACGTGGCGGAAACGTACAATGATGGCCTCATTCCATTGTGCGGTCTTGGGGTGCTCATAGTATTCGACGCTGGCGAAGGTGCTGTTGCACACCTGTTTGTTGAAAAAAGTGTCAGCGCATTTCGCATCATTCGAGTAGCAGGTCCGGATTTCGTTTGACGACCGCCGTGCTGGGAAAAGGGGTCGAAGGCGAACGTACGTCGGTAGCGATCTGCTCAAGGCGCTTGGGCGGCAGGGGCTGGTTTTCGCATCGCAAAGTCAGTAAAAACTGCTCAGCTCAAGGAAGCCGCCGAATTATCCTCACAGAGTTCGTTGGGGAGGCCATTTTGTTGTGCGGTGCCGTGTGGTTGTTGGGTGTAAGTCGGCGTTTATTTTGCGATTGTTGCGGTGCGATGCGATAGAGGAGGAGACCCTGGTCCAAAGGCTGTCGCGTTAAATGGAATGCCCAACCAATCTCGTCTCTGAAACTCTGGGGCAAATCATACAGCTGCTCTTCGAGGGACAAACAAGGGTGGATATACTCTCCAAGACGCCCCGGGATGTTGAAAAGGGGATGCTAGGGGACGGCTGCGGGAAGAAGGTTGTTGAGATGTAGAATTGTAGATGCCCAAATCTTGTACACGGTCGTTAGCAGGTATCACCAACACTGGACACGCGATCAGCTCGCCCGCCGATACGCTCTGCCACCGAGTCGGTAGGTACCCAAGTATCACACTGCCCTACATACAACGAGTGGATAGCCGCTGCCGCTGGACGGGTGCGGTGGAGGACGGGCGGGCAGCAATGCCAAGCATTTGTAGCCTCAAGCGTTGGTCACTAACATATAACCAATCTAAGCTTTTTGTTGTTGTTGTATTTAACGTCTACTTCCGCCTCCCGAAGGGCATGAGACGTTCAGCAGCGGCCGCTCTAGTCTAGTCTAAATATAGTATCACGTGACCTATTTTTTCCTAGCCAAAAGCTAAAACCCGAATATAAAATTATAGTTAGAGGCTATAGTAAATTTAAAGGCGCCTATTACATTAAACGCAGCCCGCTATTTAGTTGTTTAGGAAGAAAAGAGGTAAATAAGGTTATAGAGGGCTCCCCCCTTCAAGTACCTCCTCCCTTTATTATAACCGCTAGACCCTCTAATTTAATACTATATCTACTATCTCTATTAAATACCCTAGTCCAATTTCTAAATTTTCGTCCTATAGGAAATGTATTTAATTAACTATATTACTTCCCGCTTTAATGTATTTTTATTATAAAATATACTACTAGTCTTTCTTTATATAAGTTTAATTAAAGAACTTCGAAATTTAAATCCTTACTATAAATTACTTTTAATTAATATTAAATATTAGAGAAATATTTTCCTGGGAGGTAGATATACTATAAAGTAGGGAGATTGTATATACTTTTATATAATAGAAGGAGTATATTAGAATTTTCTATTTACTGTAGGAATAAATTAATAGAGTATCCTTATATTCGAAGTGCTTATAATACTTTTTAAAATCGTTATAGCCGGTTTGTATAATTAGAAAGTAGTATAATAATTGTTTATTTAAGTCTTTGAGTTCCTTTAAAGGTTTTAGATTAGTACAAAGGCGGTACTTAATATAAAAGTCGGGCGCATTAATTATCTATTATTCTTTGAAAACCTTCTAGGCTTTATATTTAATTAATTTCTTTAAGTAAATAAATATAATAATTTCGTTCGCTATTTCGCCTCCTTCTACACTAGCCTTTATTAATTTATCGGTTAACTTATTACTAATAATTCTTATATAATTAAAGACTTATTTAATATTAATTAAATTTGGATTATATTTAGAATATATTCGTTAAAAATTAATAAAGGCCTCTTATAATAAAGGTATTAGAATATTACGAAGGCCGCGGATAATAGTAGTATTATTTAAATAAATTATAATTTTCGGTATTATAGTATTAATAAAGGTTAGGGTAACCTGAAGGCTATATTTAATATTTTTTACTTCTATATTAAAAATTTCCGTTTAAGTTAATTAGCCGTACCTACGGTCAATCTCCTCCCTACCTTAGAAAATTATATATTCGAAATTAATAAATTCCTTTTCAAATTCGTCCTCGCTATCTTCGTATTCCTAGCGGATGATCTACTTACTAATTATTAATCCGTTACTATAAATTATTATATTAATAGGATTTAACGATTCTAACTATTTAATAAAATCCTTAGTAACTTATTATTTAAAAATATATACGGGGTCTATATACGTCTTCCCATTATAGATTAAGGGTTAAAATATTGGCTATAGGAAAGGGTTCGTTAATTATACTATAGATTTTAAGGTAGTTAGCTAGTGGGGGAGATGCTTAATTATAAACCGGAGGTATACGAAGCGTTTTATTAGAGGGTAAGCCGGGTCGAATATAGATAGGCGGATTATATAGTAGTACCTAATAGATTCAAGAATTTAGTTTATTAGGGGGGTATTAAATTTATAGTATAGGATAAATAATTAGATTATATACTATATTAAAAAATTAGTTCGGATAGTAATATTTACTATTATTTAAATTTTATTAATTTAATTACGGAAGCTACTACTAATTAATAGGTAAATACCTTATTTTTTAATTGCTAATTATTATTTTAGGCCCGACTACTATAATTTTATATTAAAGAGTACCTTCGGAAATATTACTACTTCTATTACTTTAACTATTAAATTTAAAAAGGCGCTAGTATATATTTTATTAAGACTTTTAATATAAATTGCAATTACCTTTATTAATATTACTTTCTTCTTAATATAATATTTAAAATTAAATTTACTATATAATTATACCCTTAATTAACGGACTATAGATTGCGCTGTAATAGTAAAGTCGTTATATTTAATAGTTAGAAGTATTTAGGGGGAGTATATTTTATAGGAATATTAGATTTCTATCTTTTTTAGTAAAAATTCTATTGTATTATTCCTGCCCTATTCGATTATTAAATTTAATTCCTCTTATATTTTAATATAAGACTCTTCTAATATATTATTAAAGGTAAGAATAGTATAGTTATTAATATAGCCGAATTTAAATACTTAGTTGCCTAATTTATAGACCGGTTTAATATAGAAAAAGTAGAGGATTAGTAAAGTAGGAGACCCCTATAGGAGCCTATAAAGGATAGGGTTTATAAATATTAAAATTTTTAATAGTTGGATATAAATTTTATAATCTATTATAAAGGAATCTACTTAACGGACTATACGTTTCGGCTATTCCTATTCTTTAAAATGCTAAAGGAGGCACTTCTTTAGTACTGTATTAAAAGCCCCTTTAACGTTAATAGTAACGAAGGTAGCGATTAGCCCTTATTTAAAATATCTTTAATATTATATAATAGTATAGTAATAATATCGGTAGTAGAGTACTTTAAAAACGTACTAACTTACTATAAGTATAGGATACTATATTTAATTATAAATTAAATTATTTATTTAACTATTAACCTTTCTAAACCCTTTTTAAAGTAGGAGAGAAGTAATATAGGCCTCTAACCTTTTACGGTTACTAGGTTTTTATTTAATTTAGGGATTATTACTACTTCTACTTTTTAAAAGACTTAGGGGTAATATCTAATTCTAACGTAGCTTTAATATAGGGCCTATACCGGCTTGGAAATTAAATTCTAAATAACTTTTAATATTTAGATTGTAATACTATTAATATTAAAAAAGGTGTTATTAACGTTGTAGAAGTACCGGTAAATTTTATTAATATAAATTATTTTAAATTAAAGAATATACTATAGTAGTATTATAAATATTTAATTGTCTTTAATATTATCCTTTATTAAATTTTTTTTGAGTAGCACCCTCCTTAGTAGGATGGTTTTCTCTGTAGGGTCTGCTATAGTACTATTATCGGGGGTTTATAAGGTAGGAGGGTTTAATTATTCCTAGGGTTTATACTAATTAATAATACGGTAAATATTTTTATTAATTTTTATATTACTTATAATATTAATTTAGAATTCTTTTTTAGCTTACCGGACTACTTGTTTGAAAGTTTAGCGTAATATATAGACTTTTTTAGAGTCGGAGGATTTATTATAGTACTTATAATTATAGAAAGTTTGTATTACTATTGCTATTTCTTTATTTTACTACTTTACTCCCCTATCCGGGCGAAATAGATAGTATATAACCTTTAGTGTTTATTTAAGGATACTAATTAAACTTTCCGCTAATAATTCTAAACTTTTAATAATACTAATCTCGATCTCTAGGGAGTTAATAAATATGGAAATAGTTTTAATATATTTTTTAATATCCTTTAAATTATTTTTCAAATTTAAATACTAATATAGATTTTCCGATTAATAGAGAGGGATATTGGAGACGAGGGGGAAGTAGTTAATTATAATATTTAAATTATTTATAATTCGGTATAATATAAGTAAGATATTAATTAGAATCAGGTTTAAAATATTCCTTTAGTCGTATATTAGTACGCTAATTAGGCTTATTAAGTCGAGGTTTTTATTAACGAAGAAGTTTATAATAGAAGTTCACCCTTTAGAAGGTAGGATTCCGGGCTGCTAAATATAGTATTTAGTATTAAAATTATTTGTAATAAAAATTCTAGGAGGAATATCTTATCGGTTAATAGTTTCGAATATTAACCGGTTAGTGTATTACTGATAAATATTAATAAAAGTAATCCTGTAGACTTTAATTTATAGAATATCCCTATTTTTACGGCCGTTTAGGCTAAAGGCGGTTATAGTAAAGCCCTTTTTAATATATGTAAATACCCGGGGCTCTATACTAGCCTCCTTAGTTTAAATTTAAATGGAAAAATAGAAGGAATAGGCGTTAAACGAAAAAGTCCGGGGGGTTCCTTCCTTTATTACTTATATTTAAAATTCTTATAGGAATATTATATCCGCGCCTTCGAAGGAAATTATATAGAGGGCGGTTACGTACGTACTTAAACTTTTAATTATATTTACTTAGAAGATTTAGAATTTTAGCGCGCTAAATATAGCGGAAGGTTATTATTAATATCCTTCTATTAGTAATAAAAAGTAGTTTTAATTGTATGTTATTAATAGTAAATAAATTTTTTAAAATTTTTAGAATTAGATAATTCTTTAATAATTTGGGCCTCTAATATAGTTAAATCTTTTACTATAAGTTATAGTTAGGAATAGAAGGAAGTATTCGAATTTTTGGGATTAGAAAAGGTAGAATTATTATTCGATAAGTTGCTAATTTTTTTTAAACCGGAGAGGCCGTTCGCTTCGTTGTATTTCTTTTAGCCGGCGATTCTTATATTTCCCCGGACCTATTTTAATAGCTGTACGTAAGTACTATTCTTTTTAACCGGCTATACCCGGTAGTTTAAATAGGTAGTAGGGTATAGGCTATAGTAATTTACGTATTGGAGGGGATTCGAGTAAAATTCCTTTATATATTTAGTTTTGTTATAATCTTCGTAGACCTATAGACGGATATAACTACGCCGGCTATATTAATCGAAGTATTTTAAATATTAGAAAAATAATTTTTTTTTATTTATTAATTAAAAAAGACTATTAGTATTAAAAAGTTTAAAGGGGGTTTAAAGGGTTTTGAAAGTTATTATTTACGTAGCGTAGTAATATATATTCGTATTGTAATTAGAGGAGATACGGGTATAGATAAGTCTATTATTAGTTTGGATGTAAATTTCTTTAAGAATATACTCTATAGTAGGGACTATAGTATTGTTCCTAAAGTAGATTTTTATTAATATTCCTAAGATAACGTATATTACTTAACATTTAAATAGTTTGATATTAGTACTTAAAATCGAACTAATATTGTAAATATAATTTATAATAATTATTTATATTTTATTATTCCTAGGGATAAGAACGAAATTAAAACAGATTATATAGTAGATAGTAATATCTTCGGGCTAGAAAGTAAAGAGTTTAATAATTTTACGTTTAATAGTATAGGTAGTAGTATTTTTATAGGGAGATTGGGGGTTTATCTAAATAAAAATATAGTTATCTAATTTTAGGGGGAGGGGAGTAGCGGCTTTACTTTTTATAATATAAGAGGAAATATTAATTAATTAGGAGGATATATTTCTTATTATAGTATTAATAAAGGAAGTAGGCTTGATTAAAGGGGTTTAGGGAATTATAATTGAATAGATTGGAAGGGTAGATCTAGGATTTAGGGTAGTAAAGATACGTATAACGATTTAGGCTGGTAAGAGTAGGGTAAATAGGATTAAGAAGTAGGAGGTAGGTAGGGTTAAAAAGTAGGGGGTAGGTAGTAAAGTAGAAATTTTCTACTAAATAGCATTAGTAAAAACCTAGGAGAGGACGTTAATTTAGGTTTAATAGGCCGGTAAGCGAGTAATGAAGTATTTTATTTAAGAATTAATAGTTTTTACGAAAACCCGAAGGACGTTTACTTAAACGATAGTAAATTTAGTTATTTCTTTTATAGTTTTAAGAAATTCCTAAGTAGTAAAATTAATAGTAATTAAAGTAGTATAGCGGCCTTCTTCGGTACGAGGCCTCTTAGGCTTCGATTGCGGTGCTATTATAGTGGGTGATGGCGTGTAATTTGCTGCGGGGGGTAAAGAAGGTTTAGGAGGGAAATTTAGGGGTATTTTGGCCGGATTAACCTCGTTGGTAGGTATTTTCTAATACTTTAAAGGTAGGAGGCATTGATTGTAGGAACGGCGATTTTAAGAGTATTAAGGTTTTTGCGGGGGTCCGGGCGGAAGCACTAACACTTGGCGCTAAGACTTTTAGATATAGGAGGAAGGTGATAACCAACCTAAGCGAACAGCTGACAGGTGAACATCGCACTTTGACAAATGGCACGTGATCCGGCGCATGCTCACGGTCGAGAGTTCACGGTCACCACGGTGACGACAGAGGGGTGGGTTCAGTATCGCTTTAGCTCTGTCGAGCGGAGGCATTCCCATCCAATCGTTCTGAAAAGGAGGCCCACGTGGGCTCCATTTTCCCACTACAAATCCAGCATTAGGCCTGTTGAAGGATAGCTCCACCCTCTCTCATTGATCAATTGACGTTTGAAGCTTTGCAATTGGCGAGCAGGAATCACCTTCTTCCACTTGTGGCAGCTTCTCGCTGGCTGCAGCGCCGCATCATTCAAACATCAGACTTTAACGTCGTGTTGGCGAAAGAAAAAGGACAAAATTTCCTCCCAGAGCCCGAGACGCAGAACACGACAGCGAACAGTGCTCCACAAAGCCCAAGAACCACGAAGCTTGTTTGTCGGTGACGCAGCACGAAATCGTCCCTACTCTTGTTTGACAGCTCCAATCGCTGTGGGATATCTTGTCCGAGTCTCTGACGGAACCGGAGCCGTGCGCGGACCGCCTGCTAGCTTGATTTTGAATCCGGATTGCCACTACGGAAAACACTTTGAACGACCGACAGCAGTTTCTTCAAATCTCGACGACACATACGCAAGCGCTTACTCCTCAACCGATATACCTGGCACCATTTCAAAGCTAGAAATTCATCAACATGTCGAGTCAGCCTCTCCTCCAGACTGCGCCAGGTAAGCAAACATTCTACTTTCCGTTCCACGGCGCTCTTCCCGCTGACATCATCCGTTACCTCCACAGGCAAGCGCATTGCTCTCCCCACTCGCGTCGAACCCAAGGTCTTCTTCGCCAATGAGCGTACCTTTCTCTCATGGCTCAACTTTACCGTCATCCTCGGCGCCCTGGCGATAGGCATGCTTAACTTTGGCGACCGGCCCGCCTTCATCTCGGCCTTTCTCTTCACAGGCGTCGCTATGGCAACCATGGTGTATGCGCTAGTGACGTACCACTGGCGAGCCAAGTCGATACGATTGAGGGGCCAGGCCGGCTTCGACGACCGCTTCGGTCCGACCTTTTTGGCCCTCATTCTGCTCCTCGCTGTGGTGGTCAACTTTGTCCTGAGAATCACATATATTTCGCAGCAGCCTTAAAGAGATTGAGGAAGACTGAAACTGATGGATGGACGACCTGAGCGACGACAAGTATGTTACGAATTGTTGATGGTATAACGCTCGCTTCTGGGCGGGCGTTGCGCCAAATAAGCCAGCAAACGAGACTTTGCACACCGGAATGATGTTACTACCACTGGCGGGACTCAAGGGAAACTAATCTTTGATCTCTTGTATAACATACGACGGAGCTTCCAGTACGATACGTTATGAGCTACTAGAATGGAGAGCGCACTAAAGCAAATTGGGGTAGGAGATCTTGAAATGACTATTCATCATTTGTAGTGAGAGGCACGGGCGTTTGGCATTGATGGCTTGCATGGGGCCGGCGTTGGTCGACTTGGAATCCTAAAGCATTACAAACTAACGAATAAAAGTTTAGAGGAGGTACTATAAAACGAAACAATCCCATTGCTTTGCGACCCTTGTCTGCATTGTGGCAATTTTCGTCTAATGACAACATGTGATTGATGAAGAATGCCACCCACTTTATCGATTTTCTTAACCCATGAACTTCTCTTTCCTGACCGTCGGCGGGCATTAAAAAATTGAGCGTATGAGCCTTAAAATGTAATCCTCATTCATGTCTTGATAATGCGAGGTGTCGAGACAAACGGCCTGATATCCCATGATGCTCCTATAACTCCGGACAGCGCCCTAATCGTTTGTTAACCTCGAAACAGAGATTTGTGATGTAAAACTAAACCTCCAAAAGTCGCGAAGATACTACTGCGGGTCATTGCCTATGCTCAATGCCGTCCCTCTAGAACCAAACATGCTCGTTATGCCCCTGAACTCCATGATAGTGCCCCGACCGAGTGACAGGCAATATCTGCCATCATGATAAATGCATAACTCTTCCCACGAGCCCCATCCTTTCAAATGGGCAGTTGGTCGGCAGGTCTCAAGCCACCAAGCCTACCCTCTTCTTTTTCAGATGCTCAATGTGATGCTCGTTGCTCTGCACAACAACATTCCGCATCGTCCTCAATTCCTCGATCGGGATTCTCGACAAAAACACGCTCACGTACTTATTGTGTCGAGTCTTGGGTGGCTCAATAGCTCTTTCAAAAACCGTCGGTTGTTGGTCGTGCGATGCCCGGCCTTCTCCTCCTCCTCCTACATATTGCTGTTGTCTCTGATTGCGGTTGTTGTGAATACCCATCATCTCAAATGCCTCTTCCTCGTCGTGGTGATCGCCATCCTTGGTCATGTCCATAACCGTATCCTCCACCACCTCCGTCCCACCAGCATCTTCCTCTTCCGTCTCCGCCAGTACATTATACTGAAACCACTTTTGCTCCCCCTCGCCGATCCTTCGTCGTACCAGCTCGGCAATAGTGACAAGCTTGCTCGAAGCCACCGGCTTAGCGGAGAGGAGCACCACGCCCGGCAGCACGGATTGGTCCCACAGGCTGAAGCGATCGAGGTGTTGCAGCGCTTTGTCGACATGCTTGGCGATGCTAGTCGAGGGCATGACGCTCATGGTTTTGACTTCATATCTGGGCCGGAGCTTGGCGAGGAGGGACTCGTATGGTTGGAATGCAGGGGTTACAGCGCCGGCGGTGGTGTTGCTCTGGTGCGGGTGGTTACTTTGCAGTGATGCTGTCTGCTGGATGTTGGAGTTTGCTGTGGTGCGCTGCTTCTTGCTGGAGTTGCCTTGGGTATCGCCTTCGCCGAAATGGCGACGCTTGTTCTGGTTTGCCGACACCGAAGATGAGGCAGAACGTGGGGGGGAAGAGGATGACGCTTGATGAAGCATTGTGTCTCCTGCGGCGGCCATGGAGTTCCTAGGTAGGTTTTGGTTTTGGATCGATTGATCGTTTCAGCTTGCGGGCTGGGGATAAAAGAACTGGTGATGATAGAAGTGGTTACTTCTCTGTCCGGTGCCTGGCCGGATGGAAGGCTGTTGAGGACGAGGTGAAGTGTAGCTGCGAGTAGTCGTTACTAATGTCTGGTTATCAACTGAAGGGCAGCTTGAGAGGCGGTACGTACCAATGTTTTGGTAGGCGACTGTTTGATGTCGAATTTGAGGTGGGGTCCATGGATGCGTCGATTATTTTGTGGATCCATTTAGGGCTTATCGATAAGAATCGTGCAGTCTCATAGGGTCTACTTTCAGTTGGATCATGCTAGGCGCGGGTGGGTGTCATTCGAATTTTACGAGAATGATACGAATGAGACAACGCCTGCATTTCATTAGATTCCCACTTGCGTCTGGTACCCGCTCATTTACTCTCCATCCGTAGATACGTACTGGTATCTCAAAGTCTGAGTTGTGTGTACGAAGCGCGCCTTTGACCTCGGCGACAACATCGGCGGAAGTTGACAGGAGGCTGAGACTTGAGACGTGGTGCCTTGCATTCTACGCACCTACTGCATAATGGAGTGGGCATTCAAGTTTGGGTAACAAGAGGTAGGTACCTAGGTGGTGCTTTTGAAAGCTGAAAATCTCGAGATATTACAATGGCTGCTTTTGGAAGAAGCAGAAATTACGAGTTCGCGGCCACGAGATCGTACAAGACACACATTGAGCTTATACCTAAAGCGATACTTCAAAGCCACATACTTCAAGTTGCTGATTCCACTAGCTAGACTTTTTTTTTTTTTTTTTTTTTTTTTTTTTTTTTTTTTTGGGGAGAGGGGGGGGGGGGGGGGGGGGGCTGCTGATATCAAGATAATTAAAATGTGTTTAGAGGATTTGTTAAGGTACCTTACTCTTGCCCTCCCAAAGGCAGGCAGTGTTTCGCATAAAACGACCAATCTGGGAAAGGTGCAAGCTTCATTGTCTCTGATTTCATTGCTAATTGGCGCCGCCAGGGCAGCAGCTACTGGACATCTCGCTGTTAGGTAAAGCATAATTCAATTTCCAATACTATGAATCTTACAGTTTAAATCTTATGGATACAGATAACAAGAATGATATAACATCAACTCTTGAAATTAAGATGATACTCGTTTGGCAGTTGAACGTTCTCAGAGTGTCTAAATATGTATCCATGTCTTTTTAGCCAATGAGCAGACAGAAGTCATTATGCAGATCTCATACTCTCCACCACTATCTCTGATCGGGACTGGACATCCTTTCTGTCTCAATATTTGCTATACAATTTGTCCATCATCCGGCAAAGACTTTATTAACTTCATGATGGTGGCGAGAAATTTGCAGTAAAAGATTCAAATACGGGGCATGTTGAATGCAAACATCGACTCGGGAAGAAGTACCCTTGGCTCGATGCAACGTGTCCGATGAAGAGAGTGCAGACCGCAAGTTTCTCAACTTTTGGGGTGCAGCAACTGAACGTCAAACCCTGGCCGCCTGGTTTTGGGCAGAGTTCCATTCTCTCCGCATGTCTTTCGATGAGATGTGGATTTGCGGGGTCTTCAATGTGTGTACACTAGCCACATGTTCCAGATGATATGTTCCTTAGCTTCTGTGCAAGAAGTTCGAAGACGATAAAAGAAGGTGCACATACGACAGCGACAACGACGGTGAGAACAGCTAGTAGCTCTCTTATCACAAAAATAACCATTTGCAGTCTGGGTTGGGTTACTGGCACGCTCTACAACAGACAAGTCATAACAATCAACGAGAGGTGGCTGCTTGCAACGCGCTTCCCGAGAGCAAAGAACATTGGTTTTTGATCCATTAACTGCTATCGACAAGCGCACATCGCCTTGGGGCTCTGGAAATGCAAAACCGGCGAAGAGGCTGACCTGGTTGAGATTGGGGACTGGCAAATCAGGAGGAGCGGCTCAAGTCAAATTCGTCTGTGTTGTCTGTCGCTGACACAGTTAGTGATTGTTCACATCCGCGCCGAGTTCCAGTTGGCTGGCAAGGGTCAAACTGAGTTGTGATTCCAATACCTTCCGCTGTCCAATTAAAAGTGATGAGGGAAACTCCCAGGATTGGGCGCGGTCGTTCTATTTGCCTTGCAATCGCATCCGTATTGTGCCGTGCCCCTCGCCCACTCCAACTTTCCCATCTCATTCGATTTTCATTCCCACCCGGTTGCATCATAGTGTACATGCTCATATTATAGTATTGCAAAGCCCTGAAATTTTATAGTGACGGCATTTTTCATGCTCTTACTCTGCAACCTGAAGCCACCATTTTGCCATCTGTTTGTGTAGGACATTTGAATAATGAGACAGCGGCCAAAGATAATTACGGGATCATTTTCACTACAAAGGAGCCGCGCGTGCGACGACTGACTTGGTGAGAGATCAACTCAATCATCAGATCAGAGAATCGGTTTACTTGCGCCTCGTAGAATTGCGCAGGAATCAGTGCGCAACAGGAAGAAATGTGTGCATGTGTGGTGCAGCCTTCTCGGCGTTTGAAGGCAGCCTTTCGAGCCTTCTCGTCTTAGGTTTGTCTCTGTTGAGAGCGTTCGTTTCACCTTCGAGTGTGGTGTGGTGGAAGCTTCCTCCGTCCAGTCCAAGCATGCAGATGCTCTTACACCAAAGCTTCCTCTTACTTTGGACGGGAGCGGTACGCAGCAGAGTGGCAGGGCATGGGATGGGGCTCGTGAGACATGGAGGTCTAACAGTAACAGGCGGCTTGGCCTCCCACCCTCTATCATGGAGGCTTGTGTCCAATCAGGACTGGAGACTGTGGCCTTTCCTGGGTGCTCCAGTCCCCCTCCCTCGTTTCTCTTCCGGGCCTCGTCGTTCCTCCCCGACCTTGCCGACCTAAAGTTGGCTCGGTGCCCCGCTTGTCCCCTTGCGTTCATTCTTTTGGGTGATTTTGCCATTCAAGCGGCCCCGTCTCCTTTTGCGACTCCTCGGCCCTGCAGCGCTCTCCCCAAACCCCCTCAACTCCAGCCAACCTCGCAGTATCTTCCCAGCACCTCCCCTTACAACCTGCGTGACAGCGCCTATTCACTCCAACCCTCCCCCCCCAATCTTCAATCAACCTACAACCAACTTCTTAGCAACATAATCCGATCAAATCCACCCCGAACCACAGCGCAACCTACATTTTCCTGCTCTTTGAACTCCGCGCTTTCGCTTCGCACTTGTTATTGCTTGCTATCATCGCTGTTTCGATCGAGGCTTTGACTAGTTCTCGCGCGCTCTTCCGAAAGTCGCTACCTAATCACCACCGTTGGCACACTACGACACTCGGCCGACCTCTGCTATTCTGTTGGGCCAGCACCCAACGCACTTCGCACCTTACGACTGCCACCACTTGTGACTCGGGTCGGACCCTGCTTCGTCCTCGGTTGGGTCTGGTCTCCTGGGGCGCGGCCACATCATCAAAGCCAAGGAGCCCACTCTGCCAAGCCTTCAGTCCCCTCAAGGTCTCCGCCCCTGCGCGCTGCTAGCGGTCTGCGACTCTGCGTGCGGTGCGGCCTCGTGTCAGCTTCCCCCGGCTGTGCCGAGCTAATCTGAAAAAGGCAATCAAAAACAACCAACTGGCAATCCACAACAGCGATCAAGCGGCCCCTGATTTCAGCGAGAGCCAAAGGACCCACTTGCTCTTTTTCTGGGTTACGTCAGCCTCACACCCAAGAACAGGCCCCCTTGTCAGCTGCTGCCGGCCTGCCACGCATACCCGCTCGGTTGCCTGTCCAATACGCACCCCCTATTCGGCCTGTTTATCACAGTCGCCCCCCCCTCCCTTTTCGACTTACACATCACCCACCACTCTCTGTGACTCTTGGGTTATCAAGTGTTCCTACTGCCTGCAAAGTTCGTGACGCTTGTATCACGTCTTCCGCCCTTCTTTCCCGACCTATCATCGGGATCACAGCCTCAGAACGCGTCTACGCCTGAGACCTTTCATATCATCACATGTTTCCTTTCTGGGCTACCGAGTCAAGGGGAAATGACAAGACGTTAACGTTAGATGCAAGCCATCCTACGCTTTTGGATCTCGCCGAACCATCCGTGTCCAGCGTGTCAGCTCTTCCGACCGCGTCGGGTCTTCCGACGCCTATCTCTCCCGCATCCACCCACTCACTGAAGCGAAGACGGCTGAGCGCTGTTGATACTGCTTTCCATGGCCATGGTCACTCGTCGAAGCGCATCAAGACAGAGCAGGATGGTGGTTTACCTTCGCCGACCTCGACCTATGCAGGCGGGAATGAGGCGGCAAGGCCGTTCAAGCTCGCCGCCTCCGGGCCTAATCTAGAACGTGCAAAGGACGTCATCCAATATCAGTTTGGACTTGAAATCCTAATGAAGCATGACGAGCTCCGTCTCATCAACCAGGAGCTGGCCAAGTGTCAGATTGCTCTCGAGCAGCTTCGCCGGTGCCATCTCATCCCCTACCCTGTCCAGTGTCCGACACCCAGTCAGATGCTGGACATCAGCAGTGGCAAGGGTCCTGCTCTTCAGTCGAAACCAGGAGAGTCTGTACCGAAGTGGGCGCCACCCTTCGGGGTTGTTGACGGCCCGTATTCTCGGCACTACGCTAAGTGGCTGATACCCGATCCCGTGTTTGACGGTATTCAACCGGAGCCAGTCGTGGAGACTGCCCGGGCCAGGAACGCCGTTGCTGAAGGCAGAACGACGAGGAATAGCATGTCTGACGCAGGTGGTCTAGGAAAACAACGGTCTGCCCGCGGGCAGGGCACCCAGAAACTCCAAGCGTTATCCAGTGGATATTCGCATCCCAAGGATAAATCACTGCCTTGCATCGTGAAACGGTCGGATGGGATCACGGTCAAGCTCGTCTGCCTTGATTGTCACAGGTGGAACTTTTCGAGCACGCAGGGTTTCATCAATCACTGCCGTATAGCCCATCGGAGAGACTACAAGAGTCACGACGAAGCCGCCCTTCATTGTGGGCAGCCCATTGACGTTGATGAGATTGGAGGTGTTGCTGCTGAGGAAAGAAAACCTTTGCCTCCCATCGTTCCAAGCGTTCCAAATACTACCAGCCCCGCTTTGGTGCACCCGCTGGCGCGCAGCGAACCCCTTTCGGAACAGCAGGCGTACAAGGCGTTGCTCTCGCGTATCAATGCGTCACTGGAGCTATACCATGCCGGCCAGCTCCCAGATGTGAAGAAGATACCAACCGCGCTACCAGCATCATCATTGGTGCCTTCCAACGCACCAGATTTTGTTGGCTCGTCCGACACACCGTTTTTGACGAAGCTGATGCAAAAGAAGAAGGTTGGGGGTAACCTGAGTGAGAAAGTAAAGGATGCAAAGACCAAAGTCGATTGGGACGCAGTTCTGTCGCGTACCGATTCTGAAGATACCGATCAATCGAATGCCGCAGAAGGTACTTCAAGCTCTAAGAAGCCTGTCACGTCGACAGCGCGGGTATCAGCCGTCATGCGCAAGCCGGCCTCGTCTACCATTCCTTCTCCGCCATTCTCGAGGATTTCCACTTCCCCCGTCCCTCTACCAACAACGAGCATAGGTCGTGCTCCGGCCCACTTGACCGGCTTGCCCATCACAGCCACTAGGCAGAGCAATCCACCAGATCACCCCGAAACGCCCATATATGAGGACGACATAGATACAGAGTTGAGTCCGAACACCGTCGCTAGTAATAATGCGCCCTCACTTGTTAGTGATGATGGGGAGTATGATGATTCCGACGACGGATCTTCCTCCGACACCGGCGATGAAATTGAAACTCGGTCTGTCTCGGATGTGGCAGAAATTAATATTGAAGAGGATGTTCATGACGTGGTCGTCGCGCCTCGCGCTCAAATTTGTCAGCACCGAAAAGAAACCACGACCGACAGGACAGGTACCGGGAAATTCAAAAACGACGAGAGCCGACATGTAACATTTGTGACCCCTGTTCCTCCGCCGAAGCCGAATACCAAGGCCAAGTCCAGGGCTACTGGCGGCAACAGGCGCAAGCAAAAGTCTTGAAAATACTCAGGAACAGTGGTTCACGTTTGATATCGGAGGAGGGCAGGAACCTCATTCGCCACACCGTCACGTCTGTGACCGTCTCCGAGATCATCCCCTTGGTGGCTTGAGCAGGGACAAACCTCCCATGTGCACCTTACTATTTACGAGATGTTACTACATTTATTTTAATGCCGAGATGAACAAGGGAACAGCGTTCTGGGCTTCGAAATAGCAAGGAATGCTCATAGCTTATGATGTTTGGGTCCGGCAATTTTGTGATTTTATGAGAAGCGCTTTTTCCACTTTTTATCTTTATTCTTTCGTGTCCCTCTCAGTCACTCGACAGGGATTATCATCCGAAACAAACGAGAACGGTCAAATAAAACAAATCCCGATTGGATCTTCTTTTCTTGGCAGCATACCATTATATCAAAGCAACTTCTGTCGTATATGGCTGTCCTGTCTACTTGATTGAAATGGGAAAGACAAAACAGTGGTATCTCGAAAGACCCCGATCGCGTTAGACGAAGGAACAGGCGGAGGTGGTGTGAAAATAGGCCGGACACGCTTATACCAAACCATACCCAGAGAGTGTCCAGATTATTTTTCACACCACCTGAGGCGGAATGAAGGAGACGGGTACGAACCAGGTAGACCACGTTTGTGTGCAAGTTCTTTTGGCCAATGTAATGTAAATCATGCGCCAAGGACCTTCCTACTTGATTATATAGATAGTTTTGAACCTTTTCAGAGCGATTGGTTGCCTTGCCTCTTCTTATGTGATGACCTGAATACTTGACCGGAGTTAGGACAATCACTCCGCACATACAGAAAGTGGAAAGTTAGTAAGAGAAGTATGGACAATATCTGTCTCGATCCAGGCTTCCTTGAAGCGACCGCTAAGTGCCTCACAATATATATGCCTGATATGTACAGTATATGCTTGTTTGTATGTCAGCCTAGTCCTCCGAGTAAGACTTATTCTCACCAGTTGAGACGCCGGAAGGTCGAAACAATAGGTCACAGTGAAATTAAAAAAAAAAAAAAAAAAAAAAAAAAAAAAAAAAAAAAAAAAAAAAAAAAAAAAAAACCCTTTACATCAGAGGTAGCTTGTTTACAGTAATTTCAAGCCTTTGTTACACATAAACTGAGCATGAAAAGGCCTGAACAAGTTGACAGAAATCTCAAGCTAACGATTTTGTTGAGCGTATATCTACACTATATGCGCCTCAAGTAAGGTGTTATCTTGAAATGCTAAATATCTGCGTATCAAACATCAACAACGGCATCCATATTCTTCGCCCTCCCCCTACCTCCCCACCCAAAATAATCATCGTAATTTCCCGTCTGCGTGACATCCTCTTCATTAGGAAGGAAGCGCCAAAGGCTTGCGAAGCATTAACTCGAGCGACTCTATCGTTGCGTACAGTAATAGTCATTATGTTTAGCACTTTATTACCCAGGTCCTATCAGAGCTGCTCCATGTTGTTCTTCGCGGCGCTCCGGGATTGCCTCTGTTCATTACCTATCCCGACTTTCAACGACAGATTTGTTCTATGTTGCCATGCTATGACACGATCCGAGTATGCGACCGTAAATTTCACCTTCGACATCCGCTCGAGCGAAGAATTGTCCATAGGGCCCCCGCTTGACGATGGCTCTCAATCTGCTGTTTACGATCCGCATCACAGTGTTAAAATCGTTGCAGCTAGGCTGATTGACGATCCAAAGGAGGGTGGGGAAGTCATGGTTGCGAAACGGTGACTGATCCTGTCCTGAGGATTGTTCTTCTGGAAGGCCACGCTCAGAGTCCAAGATCTTGATATTTGCGCGCGACATCGATGTGGCCTTCTGTGGCCACCCAGAAAATCACAATGATGACTTGTTTAGCCAGTATCGTAGACGAGGCATCAGTCACGCGGGATCATCGCCGACATACCTTGACAGCCCGTCCTGACCTTCAAGATCTCAATAGAGCTTGTAGGGGGAAGAACGGTCCTGATGGACTTCGTCACGATGACGTTGATCTTGATGGGTTTGTTCGTTGAGATGCTCATCTTGGTGGGATGCAATTTCGCCAGAACGATGAGGACCAAGTTTCGGTTAATCATGCTTTTCGGGATGGTTGGTGACGATGGATTTGACGATGACCATCGCCTGCGGCATCCCCAACTATGGTAGTTGCATTGACTACCTCAAAGAGCTGCTTGGTTATGTGGTAATACAGACACTATTTGTTGGGGAATGGCGATGGGCTCGCTCACGAGGTGTGAATCTGCAAGGCTTTACATATATATGCCTTGATTGACGCTTACCAGCTCTTAAAAAATGCAAATGAATGGTGGCTGAAGTGATGGTCGGAATGCTAGTCGGTGTTGTGATGTAAGAATCACTGCTATCAAGGTGACCTCAGACGGGCAATCAAGAGGAAGCGTTGTGGAAAACAGCTCTGCAGCTGTCGGTTTCAACGAATACGAGAGATAATGACCCGGAATAGGAACCCCTTCCATAACTTTCCCTTGCGAGTGAAGCATGCGTGGTCCTGCGCGAATGAAGCTCATTTTCCACTGGGTCATGGCGCAATTCTATACAGCAGGTCTAAGGAGCCAACCCCAAGGTATGAACGGCCTCAGTCCAAACTTCTTTTGATTGTACTACCGCTCGTCAGAGCTGGCAATGTCACTGGCAGCCAGACTTCCCTCGAGTTTGATGGTGGCAAGACATTGATAGTATGCAAGAACGCACGGGTATAGGGCTCGGAAAAAGTCAAAGTACGGCATCACCATAAATGTGGCATGTGTCATAGACAATAAGGAGGCTCAACACCTTCGGGCATCACAAAGTAAAATTCATTCATGGTAAATAGACAACTAGATAGCTATCCAGATAGAATAATATAAGTGAAGGGGGTATAAAGGGGGAGGAAGGGGGTTATAAACGAAATGGTACCAAATAAACCAACTCTGCCAGATAACCAACTAATCTAGCATCGTTAAAGTGTGTCGTTTCGAATTCCATGGCATTGTTTTCTTGGTTTCTTTCTTGCAGTTGTTGCTGTTTGTCTCGGTTCGCTTCATCATCATCATCATTATCATCATTATGAGACCCGACTCTTAGGTGGAAAGCCGCCTTACTACTTAGGTAAAGCACCCTTTTCAGGAACCGCGGCCGTAGGGGGTGCAGCAGGAGGAGCGGCGGCACCGGCAGCCTTGGTGTCAACAGGCGAAATGTTGATGGGACTGGCAACGACACCAGTCTCATGGGGAGACGGCGGCAGGGTCTGGGCCTCGTTCAATGTCAGGTTGTTAGTCGCAGCCTCGAGCTTCTTGTCCTCGGTGTCCGGAGTGGGAGTAGTGACCGGGGTGGCTACGCCAGGACCAAGAGCGCCGGCAACATTGCTAATAACATCGAACCACTTTTGGGCTTCTGCGGCGCTGTGGGCCTTGAACTGCAACTCCGAGGTGCCCGCCAACTTGCTGCCGATGCCCTTAGACTTGTCCTTGCCCTTGACATTGAACCTGTCGTCCTTGGGAGCGCCGATAATGGCATCGGGCAGGTAGATGCTGAGTTCGGGCTGGGGGTCCTTGCGCTTGGGGTCGTTGTCCTTGAACTCGTGGAGGTACCTGGCAGGGGTGACGACGTAGTAGCCGGTACTGTAGCCCCACGAGAGCTTGTTGCGAGACTTGCGGTCAAGAGAGCCCTCGATGAGCGCCTTGGTAGAGGGGTTATCAGCGTTGGGAACCAGGGGAAGCAGGTGGCCGAGTTCACGAGGCGGTTCGTTCTCGTTGACGAGAACGTCGGCACTGCGAGCCCGGAATTCCTGCCACTCAAAGTCGGGCGGGATGTTCTGGGAGGTCTGGAGCACTTGGGCGTAGAGACCACGAACATGCTCGGCATGGCCACCGGCGAGCGTGTTCAAGTCCTCCATGGCCTTTTGGATGCTCTTAACAACCTTGACCTCGAATTCCATGAACTGGGCCTGGGCGGTGATGAGTTCGGTGCGATGATTGTTTTCATCCTGGATTTGGTTATGGAGGCGGTAGATGACGCCTTGGCGAAGAACATACGGATCATCGGCTGGATTGAGGTCGGCGCCGCTCGTCGGAAAAGAGGCAACGTGCTGGGAAAGCAGCTCGATATGCTTTTGAGTCGTGTTGCGGGACTTCTCGACCGCCTTAGCTCCCTTATTCAGGCTGTGAGAGAGCCTCTTTGAATAGTCCTTGATTTCGTGGTGCAAGCCCTTCAGGTCGTGGAGGACAGTCTCCTTGAGTTTCTTCTGTGTCTCGAGGTTGCTGTTGATCATGCCCTGGGTATTGGCGCGCAGGACCTCGAACATGGCCGCAACACCGGTGACATTGGTGGCATGCTGGGAGAAGTGATCCCCTTCCCTCAGGGGGTGGGAAATGGCCTGCCGAGCGGTGTGAGTATTCTCAAAGCGCCGTGATACAGAACCATGTACTTGTAGCAGGAGGCTCTCGTACCTTCAAGACCTTCTCGTATTCCTTTGCTTGAGAATGGTGAATCTTTTCAACGGCCTCGACATAGTCTTCCAGGTAGGCGACGGCGTGCTTCCATGCCCGGAGACGCTGGACAAGAATACCGGCGGTCTGGTATAGAAGTGTGTTAGCGACATTTGCCGTGTGGGTGCGCAAAGTCTAGCGAGGGGCTGGAGACGTACGCTGTTGGGATCGAACTCGGGAATGGCCGTGTCATCGCTGGCATTGCTCATCATTGTTGTTTGCCTCGAGGGCGCTGCCGACGCGTTGGCGGACATATTTCTTGGGGGGATCAAAAGCTTGTTCTTGTCGCGAGTCAGCTAAAGGTTGTGTGGGGATGTCTGTTCTACAAGAGTTGCTACTCGCAGTAGTATGTTGATGATGATGGTGGTATGGAATACTGTCGCAGAACCCCTTTTATTTTACTCCAGAGCGAGGAAGACTTCTGCCAAGGGTACTACTCGGCTTGAAAAGATCACGCAAAAAAGGGGCAAGGATGGGTTCGAAGCGAGATCCAAGCGGTTGGGTTCACAGGCTGAAGTGTTCGTCCCAACCCTGTGCAAGCAAGTGGGTGTGACCAGAGTTGACGCGCAGGAGAACAAGGTTGGATGAAGTCATCCAGACCCTGCAAAGGAGGGAACCTTTTTGGCCAGCCTTCTTTCACATCCTCCGTCCTTTCCCCGCCCCCTCTTCATGACCTGGGAACCCCCAAGCAAGCTGGACGGTGGAGTGTCGGGTCCAGTTCACAAGGGAAGGTGGATCTCTTGGGAGAGACTCAGACTATTGGCCAATCGGCCGGCATGCTCAAGTGGAACGCCTTATTGCGACAGTGCAGCATTGGTGCAGCGAAATAGTCTCATAAGTAGGTAGGTACACTAACTCACCGCGAAAGCTCGATTTGAAGCTGAACAACAAAGTCGATTTATCCTTGCGCGGATCATGGCAGATGGTGGTATGACGTATGTCTTGGCCGTGGGGCATCTTGCTCTCCAATCCAGCTGAACCTGGGGGTTCTGGATTGCTTGTCTCCCCCAGTTGCTCCCTCCCCTCTCTTCCTGTGGAGATGTGGCGATTCACTTTCCAGTCTTTTCTAGGGCAACCACGCGAAAAAGGGCATGGCTTGCATCGAAGGGAAAGAGATGAGCGCTGCCCGTTGTACACCATGGCTTCCCATTGCTAGACAACGACATGCTTGATGAAGAAAGTGTGACAACATCTCAACACGTAGCAGAGATATCATTGTTGTATATTGTTATTACTCGATATTGTCCATTGTGAGGAGGGGTATCAGAATCTATGTAGGTGCTAGTTAAAATGCGGGCGCCGCCGGTCCATCTCTCAACAAATATGCCCATGTATAAGCCAGTTCTATCACTACCTATCCGCCGTTCCGAGTCCGCTGCTTTACCCAACTCATACGCTCCCAACCAAAGAGAGAAAAGCCAATAACCAAAAAGAAATCCTTTGTCGCCATCCCAACCTAAACTCCGTGCAGCTATGCCTAATTATTTGACCAGCCAAGAACAAGCCAGATTACCACGGATTTTGATCGCGAAAGAAACACATGCCCCGGCAAACCTCTACTCAATTGGCCTGCATCATCGACGAGTGCCGTCTGCGATCTTCAGACTCTGAATGGGAGTGACCGTGGTGGTGTGAATGCGAGTGATGGATGTGTGGAATGTGCGACAGTGTGAAAGCGAGCCGCGACCGCGCTGACTTGCGCCGAGGTGGTTCCGGACGCGATTGGCTGCGCTCTTCCACTTTGCTTGCACCATCCCCAGCCTCTGAGTGACCAAGTTCCGGTGATCCAGGAGTGGTGCTTCCAGAAGCGCTTGTCGCAGCCACGTAGTCGGGCAGAACCGTGCCCTCGGGGTACACGATGGGCCGAACTGGTGTCTTGACCGCCGTGTGGTAACTCGGGACCTTGCTGAGCTCCATTATGCCCGAAAAGTCCAAGTGTTCTGGCGTATGATATCCCGACATGGCCTCGGCAGTGATATTATCGCCGCTGTTCTGTCGTGTCAGGGGTGCCGACGGAAAGGCCGAACTGTGAACGCTGTCTGCAGGGCCATTGTTGGGCGTGGCCGTCTCCGAGTCCCCATCATGCCACGAGGTGCTGCGGCTCGAAGGCTCCAGGGACACATTCTGTAATCTAGACGTGAGTGCTGCCGGGGGCACCGCCGTGCTATGGCTGTGAAGCAACGCTGCGAGATTCTCGACCGATCCTGCGCGCGAGTGGCCGTACAACGGGCTCGCCATGCCGGCTGGAGTCTGCAGGCCCGTGGGTTCCATATCTTCGTAGAGCTGGTCTAGTGTATGTTCGTCATAGCTCGGAGGGGGGGCCGCGACCACATCCCCAGGCGTTGTCCCATTAGGCATCTGCCTCACCAAGTTACCCTCTTCATCCAAGGGCATGTTGGGGGAAATGAAGATCGAAACAGGCAATGTTGCGCGAAGTTCCGAGATATGCCCATCCGGGTTGTGTAGAGCGAGCACCACCTTCAACTTGTGGCGCACCTTGATGCCGTGAGCGTTGACATCCTGCACACACTTGCCTAGCGTCCGTGGCAAGTCGAGTCCTGTGTTCATCACCCATCCTTCCTGTCCAGTATCTTCAATGACATCTTGCCAATGCTTCTCCCTCTCAATGGGAATCTTCCAAACCGATATTTCCCGTTCCTTCTTGTGTTCGCGGACCCCATAACCTGAATGTGACTGAAGTATGAACTCGTGAACCTCCAGCAGCCTGATGGTGATCTCTCCCAGCTCCAGGCCCTTCAAAAGAGGCGTAAATCTAGTTTGCAAAGGAATCGTGCTGCCAAAAACAACAGCCTTCTTGGGAATCATGATGGAGTACTCAATCTTGTTTGGCCAGATGTTTTCCACGCTCATTGTATGAAGAAATTCCAGGGTTGACGGATCGAGGGTTCGGATGATGCGCAGACGCTTGTAGGCGTGAAGATCGTAAGCGAGCTTGCCCCGTGCTACCGTAGCCTTAAGTTTGTAGGTGAGACTCGCTTCGCGGAGACCTTCGACGCTCTCGGTCATATCTCCCGGCAGCATCAGCTCAAAGGGCCATTCGTAGTTCCCGGCGGGTAATGTAACACCCCTGCTCATGAGGCCATTAGGGCTACCGATGGACTGATTTTCGGCGCCAACACCCACAAAGGGCTTCCATCGGTGCGAGTATATCGTAGAGGTGCGGTCGATCTTGTGGTTCGATATTCCGGCGGCAGTGACTCGAGGGTCGTTCCAGCTGGTCATCATATGTTAGCTTTCAGGGGACATTTGAACCTGGGCTCCACTTTGTGCACCTACCTCATGTGCAGAGTTCCCGTCAATCTTAAATGGACGTCCTCGATTTTCAGCGGCGCTGGTAGGCATAGCACGACGGTGCCTTGCAAAAGTTGGCCAGCAGATTCATGCTCATTGCCGCGGAAGACGATGAAGTCGCTCTCAAGTCTAGGGTTGACTTTGGGTTAGCCACAGCCTTGAGCGCGAGGTCAAAATGCAAGCAATTAGGACGCGGCGCAAAAACATACCGAATGTCAAAGTAGGTGTAGGCATGCTTCCCTGTCACCGAAGTGAAGAAATTGGTGAACGACATGGCCAGCTAGTGTAGGGTGGGTATCCTGGCGATGTGTTTCGTGTTGTGAAAGAGAGAATGGCGAAAGACGGTTGGATATGGCCAGAAACTGGATATGTTTATTTTGGCATTGATGGCAAAGCTCGAAGTGGGATGTAGGGATGTAGTAGTAGGCGGCTATTGGGTAAACAGACGTAGTGGCGACGCTATGAGCGATAACGGCGCATGATATGTGAAAGAGCAAAGGTTGCTTTATGCGATTTCAAAAAAAAAAAAAAAAGAGTATAGTCAAGGATAGAGATGGAGAGAGGACAAAGAAACGAGAGGGAATGGGCAAGCGAGAAGACGAGGTAAAAGAAAGAATGATAAGTTAGACGCTGGGAGGGAAAATAACGACGTTATGGATCCTGTCGAGGTACCAGGGCGGGCGGGCTAAAGACTCTTGCAGAGAACGAAGAGACTCTAGAAAGGGACAGGGATGTAAGGGCGAGTCAAGTGTGGATAAGGCGGAAGCGATTCATAGGTTGGATGGGCAATGAGATGGGGATCGTGATGGGTCTGGAGGATAGGCGGAATGGCGGGCATCCTGGGCCCGGCATGCCCTGGCCCCCCTTCTTCAAGTTTACCTTCCCGTTGCCAGAGTATCCCCACTCTTCAGGCTGGGAAGTGTTACCTTTGGTTACCTCGGCGGGGACCGTGAGGGAGGATGAAGGCTCCAAGTTTAAAGAGGAGCCATCCGGACCTACCTCGTCGACGATGGACTCGCACACTCAGAACTACCTCTACCTACAAGTACCTCTACCTACGAGCGCAATCCTGCACCGCGTGACGGCCGCAACTGCCGCTGAATATGCGATAACTCGGGTGACTGAAAGCAGCAGCCAGCGGGACACCTCAGATATCAGTGAGGGCCAAGACGGTGCCATGATGACATCACAAGCGCGAACCTCTGCTTCTACCTCTACATACTACGTATAAATGATTGGACGCATCAAGACATGAAACGACTGCGGTCGAGAGCGTGATTGGGAGGATGCTGCGCTTCTGCCTTCGTTGTCTCGGGTGTATCAAGACCAGGTTGAAAAGGGACTCGGGCTGCGGATACCAGCGACTTGAAAAAGCCATCCACAATCTGTTCTGTTCAGCGGCATAGGTGTACATCCGCGATACATAGCCGGCTCCCAGCCTGCCACCCGTTTACGAGCGGTGTTCCACTTAGAATCAAAGCTCGATAGAATGAAGTCTACTGATCAAGTCGAGGTTGTTGAGATGGCATTGACGCAATGGATGGGAGCGCCATCTGTCACCGTGACAAAAGACACATGAGACTGAAAGCATCGATCTGTCCCTATCGACGGGATGTTGGTGTGGGGGCATATCGATAGCGTCATTCAGTTGGGAGGGCTTTCGTGCATCCTTGTCAACACTGGGCTGAGGTAGCTCGGGTAGGTACCCAGGAGTACCTGCGCATGCAAGTAAAAAAAAAACGGAATCTCGAAGATCGTGAGGGAAGGGTCGGAAAAAAAAAAAGGCGGCGGGAACCTGGCGCCAAGAGGTCGCTACTCGATAGGGTTACACACCTACATATAGACCAACATCAGCATGGAATAGGGTCCCTTCTTTATTCCCGCCACTCGCACACCCAAAGCAATTCCTTGCGCCCGAACTTTCGAGATGCTACCATAGTGA